TCAACTATATCTAAAGTTGGAGGAAAAGGATGTGTAGCTGAAAAATTCTGGAAAAATAGTACTATTGAGATGTGTCAGGCAGTTTATTAATACATTTTCTTTTTTTAATGCTTATTTTATTGTAGAGAGAGAGAGAGAGAGAAAGAACATGCAGGGGATGGGCAGAGAGAGAGAGAGAGGGAGACAGAGGATCTAAAGCAGTCTCTATGAGAACAGCAGAGAGCCCAACGCGGGACTGGAACTCAGGAACTGTGAGATCATAATCTGAGCTGAAGTCGGACACTTAACCGACTGAACCATCCAGGAGCCCTAAAATATTTTCTTGAGGATTTTTCTTTAAGTTTTGGTGTTTGTTGGCCTCTTAAGTTTTATAGCTTGTTGTGATATATTTCTCATCAAAACTATTTTTGTTAATGTTTATTTTTGAGAGAGAGCACAAGCAGGGGAGGGGCAGAGAGAAGGGGACAGAGGATCTGAAGCAGGCTCTGTGCAGAGAGCCTATTCTGAGCTCAAACTCATGAACTGCGAGATCATGATCTGAGCCAAGGTTAGATGCTTGCACAAATGAGCCATCCAGGCGCCCCGCATCTCTCATTTTAAATAAATATTTATATTTGTACAAAAGCAAAACAAAAAAACAACAAGAGGTAAGAGGAGGAGAAAAACCAGATAGTCTAGACAGGCAGGATAACATTAAGTGCAGTGTCTGTCAGCAAGAGACTAATGATCAGTCGTGGTAAGAAGAGATGCCTCTTTCTGAATAAGTGTGCTAGAGCCTGCTCAGGAGAGCTTATAATTAATGCTCCCCTCTTAGCAACCTTGCCTTCAGTGACTTCACATTGATACCTTAAAATTGGCCAGGGTGGGAGTATTTACACATTGGAAAATGACAAACACCACAAATCTAGGCACTGTGTGTGTGTGTGTGTGTGTGTGTGTGTGTGTGTGTGTGCGCGCGCGCGCATATCCCCGAGCTGGTTTAGCTGCATGCAAATGACTTTCTAAAAGAGTGGTGGATTACAAGGAGAAACTGGCAGTACTCTCAGACTTATACTGTGGGAAGATGAAGGAAGATGAAGGCCCAGTGACTTAGAGCCTCTTTTCTGTGAATTAACAAGAGACTTTGATCAACTGCTTGCAGAAAAATTGACATTCCTCTAAAAGGACTTCCGCAGGTGGAGACTGAGCCTACCTAGTCTTGCAGGAGAAAGGAAATAAAGGGTATTATTAATGCAAATGTAAGGAAAGTCAAGCTCAAATAGACCCCCAAGGGCTTAATCTGCATGCATTTCTTCTCTCATTTTCATTTGTTTGTTAGCATGGGAAAAACAATGTCCCCAGACAAAAGGATTTTGAAGGTTTGTATGCTGGTCTTTCAAGAAAAAGGTTACAAGAAGGCAAGAGAGTTTAAAGTCATGGGGAAAGACTTAACTCTGGCGTCAAGGACAAAGAAGAAATATAGCAAAGCTAAGAGTACTTTAATAGTTTAAGTAAAATATTAAATGATGTGGCATAAAAATATTAAGTTCTATAAATGCCTAGTTGTTACTCAGAATTTAGTCTGCAATAATTCAGTCTTCAAAAAGATAACTTTCTGAGGTAAAGTCATTTTTCTTTTCTAGACAAAATAACTTTTACAAGTTATTTCTCTAGATGCTACCTATGAGCGCTCATTAGCTGCCTTGACTCTCAGGGTGAATTCTTTCAGTTTGGCGATTGGTTCCTCAGCTGCAGACACATTCTTGTTCCCTTCATCTAAGTGGAAACTTTGAAAGTTATGTAGTTTTTGAAACAAGATGGAATTCTTTCAAGTTTGTATCTTAGGACACTTAAGAACTTGGATTTGACTTCCAGGATGGTTATACAAAAAGTAAAAGATCAAGTGCTCACAAGGTTAAATTTCAGGAAAGCCCTCTTGGATGCAAGACAAAGGCGGGGTGTAAAACGAAAACAAAAGTAGCTTGAGTTAAAGAGGTCATTTGATTTTAGTCTTCACTCAAGACTGCTCCTCTCTGCCCACTGAAACAGGTTGGTTTTTTCTTTTTCTCATTCTAACTTGGATAAGATTGTTTTTTAAAGCCCAAAGACTTTGTATATTTACCTATGTAGAGGGAGTCTTGATGCATAAAAGTCTGAACGTTTATATGTGCAAAAAAGAGCTATTTAAAAGCAGCTATACACTTTAATCTTAAAACTTAAATCTGAAAATAGCAGGATGAAAACATTTTATTTCTGGTATTATTTTAATCCATTACTTGCCTATACAGCTTTGTTAATGAGAAAATAAGTTTTGCTCTACCTTTGTTTTCTACTTTGTTTTATAAATGCTATGTTTTTTTTTGTTCTGGTAATAATTATAAAGACATCTAAAATGTATTCCTATATATCTGCCAAAGGATCATGTCTGCAAATAATTTCCAGTCCTTGTTTTACTTACTCATATTTTTAATAAGATTCTTATTTAAAAATATATTTCCTTAATGTCTTGTATTATTTGGGCATGTTATTCCTTATCACCAGGTTCAAGATTTGTGATGAATGAGAAAGAAAGAACAAAGTGCATACTGTGTTAATAATTAACACATAAGAAAATGATGATCAGAATGGTCTTCCAGATTGTAACTTTTCAAATAACCTTAAGGATAAAAATAGTCATTTTAGATTGTTAGCACCTGGTTTTTACATAACGAAAGAAGTTCTTCTATGTGGCATATTTCCTTGGGGGGGCCTTCTTTGCTTTACTATCCAAAAAGGGTTAGTAAGAATAAGAACATTCTTTTGAAAATGTACAAGTTGGCACACTGTTTTAAAAATAGTAGTTTCATTAATGATTCCATAAGAATGTTAGAGATTCTTCCAAGTACAAAAGCAATCAAAGGGAAACAGAACGGGTAAGGAAGGAGCAAAACAAAACTCAGCACTAAAATAAAAACACCGAAAGTAATTTTTATATACTTTTAAAAACTTGTGAATTCTGTGCAAGCTTATCTTACTTCTATAGGGTGTTAATAACTAATATAGTAAAATAACTAGTGATGAGACAAGAAGATTCCTGGCACATCATCTATCCATTCTAGAGTAATAGCTTTATACCTCTGCTGGTAAAACCTTTAGTTTAACAAATATTTACTGAGCACCTAGTGTGTGCCAGGCACTCTCCAAGGTATTAATTAGAAACATAAACCCAATAAGTCACACTCTTAGGGAACTTAAGCACAGAGGGAAAAGGTAGTCTAGGAAACCCATCTTTTCCATAGGATGGGGTCCATTCTCTAAGAGTGAATGTAGGTATGTATGTAGATATAGCTATTGGATCAGGAAAGTCTTCTGGCAAGGCGAGATCCAGGTTAACTGAGGAGGAAGTGGCCCTTTAAGGGAAGAGCAGGAAAGAGTCTATCAGATAAAGGAACAGAATGAGTAATGATGAAGATATGTGCTGCAGCATGTGTATGCCAGCAAAGTGCTTCAAATGAGTACTATTACTGTCTACAGCGTAAGGCACATAGTAGAGAAATGTAGCAGGAACCATGGGTAGGACCACATTAGGGAGGGAGTCTTGGGCATAATGCTAAGGAGCTTGGATTCTATCTTTCAGGTGAAGAAATGTGTCTTTTAGGGGAGAGCTAAGCAGAAGAGTGACAGATTGACATTTTAGAGATAGAGCTCTGGTGGCAGTAAGAAAAAAAATTTTTTTAATTTATTATTCAGAGAAAATGCATGTGCACATAAGCAGGGGAGGGGTAGAGAAAAAGGGAGGTAGAGAGAGAGAATCCCAAGCAGACTCTGCCTGTCAGTGCGCAGCCTGACACGGCTCGAACTCACAAACGGTAGTATCATAACCTGAGCTGAAATCAAGAGTTGGATGCTTAACTGACGGAGCCAGCCAGGCACCCCAGAAAAATATTTTATTTTTTTGATGTTTAATTTTTTGAACAATGTTCTGTCTTTTTTAATGTTTATTTATTTTTGAGAGAGAGAGACACACACAGACACAAAGTGTGAGCGGGGGAGGGGCAGAGAGAGAGGGAGACACAGAATCCAAAGCAGACTCCGAAGCAGCTCTGTGCTGACAGCTCAGAGCCCAAGGTGGGGCTCAAACCCATGAATGGTGAGATCATGACCTGAGCCGAAGTCGGACACTCAACTGACTGAGCCACCTGGCTCCCTGAAAATAATTTTATTTTAGATGAACAATTTAATTTACTGACAATATACTGCATAAGAATCACAAAGTTGTATATGTAAAAAATAATAACATTGTTATTCCTTTTGCTGAAATCTAATTTTTCATATGTTAAAAACTACTTTGTGGGTACCTGACTGGCTCAGTTGGTAGAGGATGTGACTCTTGATCTTGGGGTTGTGGGTTCAAGCCCCATATTGGGTGTAGAGATTACTTAAAAAAGGTAAAACCTTAAAAAAAAAACCCAACTATTTTTACATAAAAGTCATTACTTTCATTTAGGGTTTAATGACTAAGAAAATTCCTCACGGTATTAATTTTATCTTTCATGTTTAAATCCTAGCTCTTACACACAGACTTGTAAAACCAAAGGATGAAAAAATAACCTTGGGGATATATTCCTAAGTGGTTTCCATTAAAAGGTTTCAAATTTCAAAGAGTGGCAGATTCAGTCTCACCTATGTTATGGCAACAATCTATTCTCTAGTTTTTGTTGTTGTTTTTAATATTTATTTATTTTTGAGAGAGAGAGAGAGAGAGAGAGAGTGTGTGTGTGTGTGTGTGTATGCATAAGTGGGGAGGGACAGAGAGAATCGCAAGCAGGTTCCACAATCAGCATGGAGCCTGACTCCTGTGCCTGTGAGATCATAACTTGAGCCGAAATCAAGAGTCGGATGCTAACTGATAGAGCCACCCAGGCGCCCCAATAATCTATTCTTGAGTAAAAGAACAAATACATGCTAGATCAAAAATTGTTTCCTTTTAAACAATATTAAAATGAATATTCTGTATTCCTTTTGACATTTAGATTGGAGCCATGGCTTTGGAACACAACCAGTCAACAGATTACTATTATGAGGAAAATGAAGTGAATGGCACTCATGACTATAGTCAGTATGAAGTGATCTGTATAAAAGAAGAAGTCAGAAAATTTGCAAAAGTCTTCCTGCCTGCCTTCTTCACAATAGCTTTCATCATTGGAATTGCAGGCAATTCCATAGTAGTGGCGATTTATGCCTATTACAAGAAACAGAGAACCAAAACAGATGTGTACATCCTGAATTTGGCAGTGGCAGATTTACTCCTTCTATTTACTCTGCCTTTTTGGGCAGTTAATGCAGTTCATGGGTGGGTTTTAGGGAGAATCATGTGCAAAGTCACTTCAGCCTTGTACACTGTCAATTTCGTCTCTGGAATGCAGTTTCTGGCTTGTATCAGCATAGACAGATATTGGGCAGTAACGAAAGCCCCAAGTCAATCAGGAGTGGGGAAACCATGCTGGCTTATCTGTTTCTTTGTCTGGATGGTTGCCATCTTGCTGAGTATACCACAGCTGGTTTTTTATACAGTAAATCACAAGGCTAGGTGCATTCCCATCTTTCCATATCACCTAGGAACATCAGTGAAAGCATCAATTCAAATGTTGGAGATCTGCATTGGATTTGTAATACCCTTTCTTATTATGGGAGTATGCTACTTTGTCACAGCAAGGACACTCATCAGGATGCCCAACATTAAAAAATCTCGACCCCTCAAAGTTCTGCTCACGGTGGTTATAGTTTTCATTGTCACTCAGCTGCCTTATAACATTGTCAGGTTCTGCCAAGTCATAGACATCATCTACTCCCTGATCACTGACTGTGACATGAGCAAACGCATGGATGTTGCCATCCAAATCACAGAGAGCATCGCACTCTTTCACAGCTGCCTCAACCCAGTCCTGTATGTTTTTATGGGAGCATCGTTTAAAAACTACATCATGAAAGTTGCCAAGAAATATGGGTCCTGGAGAAGACAAAGACAAAACGTGGACGAGATTCCTTTTGACTCAGAAGATCCTACAGAGCCAACCAGTACTTTTAGCATTTAAATGTAAAACTGTCTCTTGCTTCGATTCACATGAATGATGCTTCTCCCCAGAGAAAACATCTGCTTTATTCTGAAACATAAATGTTAAACACTGTGGTGCCAACTTATAACAATCAAAAGGTGGGGGAGGATGGGAGAACGTAGCAGCCAGGAAGAAGAGGAAATGAAATCACAAGTGCACAAAACATGAACTTAACATTAACAATATAGGAAAATAGTATTAACAGATATTAATAATGAAAACACTATGCTATAAATTAGGCCATCCGAAACAGATTAATACCGAGGCTTATATAAAGGAGCATTTATAATTATTTTAAATGATCTAAATTTTAATATAAGAATGACTTCACTGCATAATTTCAGTACTTGAATAACTATACAGCAAAATTTAATCCTTTTTTCCCATTTCGTAGTTTGTGATTTCGTAAGACCCCAGACAGAATAACAATTTAACAATAAAAAAATACATAAAAAGCTTTAATGGCCCTTTTAATACATCCCTGGTAAATTTTTTTCTTTTTCTTTTTCTTTTTATCCCTGCTAAATTTCTGAACACATAATTTGCTTCCATGATGTCAACTTTCTTTAATAATAACTTGGTTATCTTATTAGATTTACATGTATACTCTAGAAGAAATCTTTACATAATCATATTTACCCAGGTTCCAATTTTATGACTTCCTAAAGGACTCATCCATTTATGTGAGTCTATTACCGAGGGTTAAGAATACATTTTCTCATGTATAGATTCTTATTTTTTTGCTTAAGCACTTGTATTTTTAAGCAATGAAGAAACGTGACACAATAAATGATTTCTAATAACATGTACATCTTATCTCTTTAAATACAATTATTTATAAATTATATTTCATTTAATATATCCCTATTAAAATTTAATTTTGATAAAAATTACCATGATCACAAATAGTGTGCGCGGATATGAATTTTCTCTCATAAACCTTAAAAAATTGTGAATTGTAAAACTGAAAAAAAGACATGTTTTTTGCTCTTAAATATCACCGAATCAAGATATGTTATTTTAAAATTACTTTTCTTTTTAGCAAATATTTCTAAATTTCAATATGCTTTTAAAGGCAGAATTTAAGGAACTATGATCACAAAACTAATAACTATGTATCACGTTATTCTAGCACAGCACCTGGCACAAAGGATGGATCTGAATACTCACCACTGCTCCACCATTTCTTGCCATTAATTACATAGCTATCTCCGTCTTGTTGGATGCTACATTCAATATTTGTGGCATCACTTGAAGCTACATCGGGCTCTATAAATAAGCAAAGGTTGAATTTATGGGCAGGCAGACATCATCTACTTACAAAAGAGACTTTGAATAAGGAAATGTGAACTCTTTGAGGATAGAGGCATGTTCCTTCCCTTCCCCCATCCCACCCTGGACCTCCCATAACCTACACATAGCAGGTATTCAAAAAGTGTACATTGGAAGAATGAATTTCGAACACGGGGATCAGCAATCTGAATTGTGTTCTTGGCTCCCTCACTGGTACATGATTTGAGATAACTCATGGAATCCGTTCTCCAAACATCAAAACTAGATTAAAATGTTGTTCTTTATTTCCCACAGTGGAAATATACTAAATACTTACAAGTCAGATTTCCATATAATTTACTATTTTAGACAATTTCTAACTATGCCTTGAGAATTCCATCTCACCAATTTATTCTGCATGTTCAACACAATGTCTTCAGAAAGTTTTTCATGGGACACCCTTACACAACTGCTTTATCATATGGCATTTCAGAATGTAAAGGCTAGCCCTCAATCATAGTAATGTGCACTTGTTAATATCCTGCTTTTTAAAATGGGTCCTTCAGATATTTTGTGTATTCTATTTCTAAAACTAGAGACCCAGTTCCTTTAGACGGAGCGGTGTACTTGCTCTGTAACCTCCAATTAGTGCTTTGTAGAAAACACATCATACTATAGGTGTTCAATAAATGCCTCTTACTGATTTTAAATGAAGATCAGTTTTGCTATTATAAACATATGCAATATTATAGAAGAGTTTAAAATCTGGCCAGAATTATGGCCAGATGACCTATAGTTTAATTCTAAACTCAACTATAGAATGACTTTTTCCTTTGAAGAATTCGTTATTGCTGTTTCCTATGTACAAATGGTACCAAACTCTTTTTCATTAACATGCCCCTAATTTTACTTCCCTAATGAACATAATTTGAATAATGTGACTAGCATTGGTGAATGTTCTGTTTTTCTAGGTTTATGGCAGGGTTAAATATTTTGTATCAACATAAAATTATCACAAATATGAGTATTTCATCATAAAGGCAAAAAAGATATTAAATATCCAGAGATAACAATTTTTGAAATGCTAGTCAAAAGATTATGAAGTTAGGTTTACTCTGCGCTAAATGGCTAAAGTAGACAGCCAGAAAACATCAGCTGTGGTATCCTCCCAAATGGGAGGGCAATTTTATTCTGCACATTTAAAAATCCCAAAATTTGAAACTGCACTCAAAACAATCATATTTACATTTCTAGCCATGGGTGAATTTGCCTGAAACACAGAGGCACCTCCCTCCTTTCTTTAGCTCATCCATAATAGCTCCAGGATAACTCTCTGCACAAGGGAAGAACCGTGATTTGCTTTTACCTGTCATACAGAAGCAGGATGTAATGTTTCCTTGAAGAAGAGGCTCAAGCCACTGCTGCTTCTGCTTTTCACTTCCATATAGGTGGAGCACCTCCATGTTCCCTGTGTCTATACATAAGAAAAAACATTTCTTTTACATTTAAAAATTTATCAATACGAAATCCAAACTTATGTTGACAATATACACATGTACCTTTTAAGTATTTGCTAACAAAAATATTTTGAAACATGAAATGTAAATATAATTTATAATGAAGATATTCCATAAATAGTTATTATAAGTATATGGCATTTGGTGCACATTTATTCAACTTGTGAATTACACACACTTGTCTGCTTCATCTCAATAAGCATGGCTCTAATGAAGGCTGACTCAATTAGGACTAAGGGAAACAATTTACTGGCTTAATCTTTCCCGGCTCTCTTGCAAATATGCTCTGCTAGGGGTGATGGCTCCTGGAAAACAATTATCATTACATGTTCTATTGAGAATCCAGCACTGAGACTCCTGTTCCTCAAGCATACACTGTGCTTTCTAACTTTCATACATTTGCTTGTGCCAAGCCTTCTCTCAAGTACAAATCTACCCATCATTCCTAAGTAAATTCCTGCTTCTGAGCCACTTGCATTATGAAGAATCTCTGATTACCCAGTCAGAAATATCTCCTTTCTCTGAACTCACAGAGTAATTGTCTCTACCTCTACCAATGCTCTTACTTCTGTGTGCCCCCTACCATCTAGAAAAGTACCAGGTCGAATCTCGAGAATGCTAAACACAGAATCCCTGATAGAAAGTGACGGCAGATAACTTCAAAGACCCTTTCCAACACATCAGAGGGTGTTGTTCAGTGACTGATACACTAGTATCATTCTCATATAAGAAAAAGAATACTTCATGTCTGCTATGGAGCAAAATGCTCTAGAGGCTTTCCTCTGATATTCACTCCTATCAAACTTCAAAAAATGTTACCTGAAACTCTTCCTTTGAAAACTGATTACTCAAAATTTTGAGGAAGCATTTTTCAATATCACCTCTTAAAATGACATTACGGATAGTCACTGAAATGCCTATGAAAACTGAGTTAAATCCATGTTAAGTCTCTTAAAATATGTTTGCACTCTGGTTAGACACTACTAACAGAGCCAAAGTTATACTAAAATGCACAAAATTTGTATAGATGAACAAATTCTTAAAATTTGTTAAAGCTTAAAAGCTTTTTGAATGAGGGAAAAAATGAGTCCTCAGTTATAATTAATGAAACTCATCATTTTCTTTGCTTATTTTAAATTGTTTCTTGTTATAGTTCAAATGAAGTAAATACTGAATTAGATCTTTCCAAAAATTATCAGTTTATTCTGAGAAGCTGGGAAAACAAAGTTATATTTTACAGGATGGGAAAAAGCCTAGATAAATTATTTCTACAAAAAAATCACCAGCCCCAAAATCAGCCCAAAGGCCCCCAAATTTTCTAGTAAGAGCTTTAGAATTAAAAATTGCTATTTTCAGGGGCACCTGGGGTGCTCAGTCGGTTAATCGTCCAACTCTTGATTTCGGCTCGGGTCATGATCTCATAGTTTGTGAGTTCAAGCTCCATGTGGGGCTCTGCACTGATGGCACAGAGCCTGCTTGGGATTCTCTCTCTTTCCCTCTCTCTGCACCTCCCCCGCTGGTGCTCTATCTCAAAATATATCAATAAACATTTCTAAAAAATTCCTATTTTCAATATCTCAATATATAATACTGTATGACTTAATGAAGGGCAAAAAAACAAAAGACAAATTGGAAAGCTACATATGGTTCCCATAAGGTTTTAGAACTATTTGAGAAGCTTGAGTAGAAATTTGTCTTTTATGCTTAAGAAAACTCCCAAAGTATTTAATTGACATCAGTTACATTCCCTTCTTCATCTGCTCTGGAAATGCTCCAAAACCCAATCCCCAAGGGCTTCATGAAGATAGCTCCACCACAAACGGTAAACGCCTAGTGTTCTATTTACAGTTTTACACATCTTTGTTTGCTAAGGAGAGTTGCTGATCAAACTTTGGTCAAAGAAAATGTATTTTCCTGGCCAATTTAAAAATTTCAGCAGAACGGTGATGTCATTTAGATAATACAACTAATAGACTCATGAAACTTTAATACTAGAAATTTTAATGCTAGAAAAAAAGACCTTCCAGTGAAAAGTGAGTTCACGGGTCAAATGAAGAAATAGTGGCAGAGCAGTGTCTACAGAGGAAGTCTTCTGTGGCATTATTTTTCATATTATGACCCATTAGTAGGTCATGAAATAAATTTAATGGAATATGGCTAACATTCTTTAAAAAATGAAATAGATCAAAATAGAATACATTAGATTAGACTCAGTGGAAAATATCTGAATATGTTGCATGCAATAAGGGAAACTATTATTTCACGAAACTCTTTTTCAGTCTTCCCCCCGCCCCCCGCCTTGTACAATCCATCCATCCACGAATATACACATAAAACTACATAGGCTACATACTGGGTCACAATATGAAATATATTTTTTGCTATGAGTAGCAATAAAAAAAGTTCTAAATAAAAGACTACCAGTAATCCTTCCATGAAATTATGCCCCCTTTGTAGCATAACATAATAGCTTCACACAAATGAGATGAAATCTTTAGAAATTCTAGGATAGATTTCTTGATTTTTACAACAGCCTCATTATTAGATTAAAATGTAGTACAGCAGTAATTTGATAAACTGGTGTTTTGAAGAGGATTTCCTTCCACTTACCACGTCAGGGATAAGTTCAACCATCGTCAGAAGTCCATGAACTATCTTAATAGTTGGAAATAAATGAGAGTTAAAGTCCAGGGTGCAAACACTGTGCTATGCAACCATATTGTGTTTTCTCTCAGACATCCAATATTCTTCTTTTTGGCAGTTCCATCCTTCATTAACCCTTTTTTTTTTTTTTTTTAATTTTTTTTTTCAACGTTTATTTATTTTTGGGACAGAGAGAGACAGAGCATGAACGGGGGAGGGGCAGAGAGAGAGGGAGACACAGAATCGGAAACAGGCTCCAGGCTCTGAGCCACCAGTCCAGAGCCCGACGCGGGGCTCGAACTCACGGACCGCGAGATCGTGACCTGGCTGAAGTCGGACGCTTAACCGACTGCGCCACCCAGGCGCCCCCCTTCATTAACCCTTTTTGAGAGAGCTTTAGCACTAGGGCCATACAATAAGCACAATAGGCAGTATCAAGGTCTAACTTGTGCAGTGACAACATAGGATATCATATGGAGAGAGAGAATCCCAAGCAGGCTCCGCACTGTCAGCTGAGACCCTGACAGGGCTCGATCCCATAAACCGTGAAACCATGACCTGAACCAAAATCAAGAGTTGGATGCCTAACTGACTGAGCCACCAAGTGCCCCTATATTTATTATTTATTTCTGTTTCCCTCCATTAGGATATCAGCTCCATGAGGGCAGGAATTTTTGTGTATTTTTTTCCTTGATATATCCCAAGGATCTAGAACACTAAATAATTAGTGAATAGATGGAGAGACAGGCTAACCAAAAGAGTTAGAACTCTCTAGCCATTCCAACTAGCCATAGAAATATCCAATACCCAATCATGAAACTGCAATCCTTATAATGCAATCCTTTGGTGGTGATCTCTATTCACTAATACTCTTAATGTAATGATATTTAACCAAAGAATAATCCAATGAGGACACTGGATCCATTTTTTAATATTTAAATCAAAGTAAGTGAAAAGTAAAACTACAGACAAGTTTATAAATCCATGATTTTGTGTAGAAAAACTTCCTGTCATAAAATAGACAAATTTCAAACACTCCTTAAAATATCTGAGAAAGTTTTGTTTTTAAATAATGCAGTAACCTGGTGCTTGGCAGTTAAAGACATCTGGAGCAAAAAAGCATTTTCCTGTTTCTTCAGCAATCAAAGCATAGTCCACCTGGCTGAGACCGCTTACAGCTGGCAAAAACAAGTTCCAGAGGTCTTCTGCTTTGGCCATTTCCTGTCAAGGTGATGAATACGCCAGTGTGATCATAATTTACCATGAACTAAAATAGTTTATTTTTAAAAGATATTGTTATTTATACTTTTTGCAATTTAAAAACACCTATGAAATTATTTATTTCATTTATCCTACAGTGTGTGAAACCAAATAGTTATTAATTCATTATAAAACAACAATCAAAAGGCATTAAAGAAATGCCTTTTCCTCCAAGTTTCCCTAGATTTGGCTGAAAAACTAAATTTGCTTTCTTGGGTACTTCTTACTGAATCACAGAATTATGATTATAGACTCTTACAGAATTCTTACAGAATCTCCCACATTTGAGCATAATTATGCCACACATACTATTTTGCACAGTTCAGTTTCTTACATGTGTGGTGGTTAAGATTTAAAAACATCAAATTTAGATTGAGCCCAGGTGGGACAAATGTCTTGCTTGACTTCTGTCTCAATTGAGTGACAGATGGTAGTGAGTGGTGTTGATCATATTTTTTCTTTGAACAGCTCTAAGAGGCTGTCTCTGTCTTCATCACATACCATACACAAAACACTATGTAGCCTAATTTGCATACTACATATTCTATATTTTCTTTTTAAAAAGTTATTGATGTATTTATTCACTACATACAGAACAACAGCAAATAACAGAGGTCTCAAAAAACAAACGAAAAACACCTGCATTAAAAAAAAAAACCAAAACCTGTATATAAATTTTCCATTATTAAAGGTTTTCTTATTTTCTTACCTTGAGTTTATCAATCACTAAAGGTTTTTTCCATCTGTCCACTGAATTTTCATTTTGAACATAGAACTCAATTACCTCCTTAAAGTAATAACAAGAAAAAAGTTCATTAGCTAAAGTTAATACAAAGTAAATAATGCCATAAGCTGCTAATATCCAAAGTAAACATATTTAGATGAAGAGGTTTTTAAAGCTGCTATTTGATCAGTAATATTTCTTTCTGAAGCCAGATATAGGAGTATAAAAAATTCTAGAGGTTTGCTGCTCACAAAATTATGCTGCCTCAATATTAGATGACAGCCTTACAAAATCTTGTACTAAGATTTGAATGTTCCAATTTTAGCAACACAGCACACTGGATGGTCACAAGAACCCCTCTTAAAGCAGAACAACTAAAAATGCCAGAGAAAATATTTAAAATAATTTAAAAAATACATGTAGTAATGAATAGCTATGTCATAAGAAAAATAAGGAAATTTCTCAAAGGTCAGAAATAAAGAAGCCTGAGTTTTCAAGTGTTGCTAAAGTACTTGTTTCAAGCCACCATTAGCAAAAATTAGCCAAACCAATTTTTTAACAGACTCACATTTTTTAACTATTTTAACCAATAGTTTAACAGACTCACACTCTCCAAAGACTACAAACTAATGATCAGATACAGAATATAAAGTATTTGTGTCCAATAGATTTCAAGAATAAACGAGAATTAAAAGTATGACAAGGGTTATCAGAATAAGCCAAATTTGAAAAAGAACCAAAAAAAAAAAAAAAAAAAAAAAAAAAAGAAAAGAAAAGAACCAAATGCAACTTGAGAAAAGAAAAACCATGGTAATTAAAAATTCAATGGCGTTGTTCTCAAACACCATTGGTATCAGAATCACTTGGGGCACTTGGTGAAAAGACAAGAATCCATGACCTATTTTACTTCAATGAGCCTAGGGCTTCTGTATTCTTTACTATCTTTGGCAATTCTGACACTCTCCAACTTTTGAGAGAACCACTGTTCTATGGATGGTTGAAAAGTAGATTAGATATAGCAGAAAAAAAATAATTTGGAAGAAAAAGCATGAAGAAATTACTCCTTTCTATGAATGAGGCACAGAAATTCAATAGAAGGAAAATATGAATGATTAAGAGATATGATGCAAATAGAGAAATGTTCTCACATCAGTCTAACTAGGGCCCAAGATCAAGAGTATAACAAAAGGGGATACTGGAAAAATTTACTTCTGAGTTTTTAGAACTGATGAAAGATACCAATCTTCAAATTCAGAAAACAAAGTAAAGCCAAAGCACAAACTATACAACACCAAAGAAAAATAAAAGCTCTTAAGAGGAGAAAGAGGAGGGGAGGACAGATCACTGATAAACAAGTAAGACTGAGAACTGATTTCCCAGAGCAACAAATGAAGCCAGAAATCAGTGGGACAAGGCCTTCATTTGCTGAGAGAAAGTAACTGTCAACCTAGAATTCTATATCCAATAAAACAATCTTTCAAGAATTAGGACAAAATAAAGGCATTAGAAATAAAGAAACAGAGAGACAGAGAGACAAGGAACCTGAATCATTAGTTCCCTCTCCTGAGCAAAAAAAAAGAAAAAAAGGAATAAAAAGAACTATCAAATAAAAGGTTACTAGCAGATTCTCATTAAAGAAAGTTGATCGTTAAAGAAACATCTGAGTTGCAAGAAGAAACAGTAAATAAAGTGATAAATATATGGGTAAATCTAAATTAAAAGCTAGCTATGTATGGGGCACCTGCGTGGCTCAGTTGGTTAAGTGTGCTACTCTTGGTCTTGGCTCAGGTCATGGTCTCACAGTTTCATGGGTTTGAGCCCACGTCAGGCTCTGTGCTGATGGTGCTGCAGATCCTGCTTGGGATTCTCTCTCCCTCTCCCTCTGCCCCTCCCCGACTCATGCTGTCTCTGTCTCTCTCAAAATAAATAAGTAAACTTTAAAAAAGTTTTAAAAAACTAGCTACATAAAACAGTAACAATAATCTCTAATTTGTGCAACTAAAAGAATCAAGATGAACTAAAATACGGTCTATGATGGCATTCTCCAATATTTGCTATTATTCATCTCTGTACTTATTTTTTTTACACTTAGGCTAGTACAATTACTAGATTAAAGGCTATGAATATTGTCACGAGTCCACATTACAAAATCATTTTCTAAAATTGTTCTATCACTTTACAGTCATATAATATTCAGAAATGGTTTTTTTTTTAATTTTTTTTAACATTTATTTATTTTTGAGACAGGGAGAGACAGAGCGTGAACGGGGGAGGGTCAGAGAGAGGGGAAGACACAGAATCTGAAACAGGTTCCAGGCTCTGAGCTGTCAGCACAGAGCCCAAAGTGGGGCTCGAACTCACGGACTGCAAGATCATGACCTGAGCCGAAGTCAGACGCTTAACCGACTGAGCCACCCAGGCGCCCCCAGAAATGTTCTTTTTATTAAAGCATGGCAGTCCAGGGTACTGATGTATTTAGTGAAAACTTCAAGAAGACAAAGGACAGCTTTTTCAAAGCCAGTAGGATAAACAGCATTTGTCATTTGTGTCAGGAAGTCAGTTAAATTGGAGATTTCCTGTTTAGGGTTGTTTATTATTTCCATCCCTCGTATTGCCGTGGAAATAGTCAATGTTACTGTGTTTGATAAGAAATATATTATGCAATACATTTACAAATTCCTCATCTCTGACTACAGCTTGTGAGAAGTTATGATACTACAGTTTATGATACTACAGTTCTGAGAAGTTAAAATATGCCAATGTTTATAAAATTATTTAAAAACTTGTGTGATTTAAAAATTCCTATTCTACAGTCTATCCATTCAAGAGATCTGCAAAATCTATTTGTGGTATGGCAGGAGTCAGAATTAAAATATCTCATCAGAATGAAGTTCTCTTTAGTTCTTAGAGTATGAAAAACAGAAGGAAGCAGAAAATAAGTTTGGTGCCTGATCAATTCTCCCCGAATAACACCTTTAACAGCTAACTTCCTCATTCACTGATTGAGATGCGGCTTTGAAGTATGTTGGTTCAGAATCTTAAATCTGAGCCTACAAATAATTTTCCATATAATATGTTTTTCACTTTAAACTTAAGTCTATTAGAAAGAAGCAACAATAGTTCTTTACCAGTACATTATTACACTGAGTAGGAAAATATGGCTAATGTTATCATTACGTTAAAAGTGTGTTCTCAAGAACATGTTGCTAGTTCCTGTTTTACATGCTATTTTTTAGGACTCCTTATCCATATTAATTAGGAAGAACTGCCTTTTAACATTTTCATAAGTAATGGGTTCTTATGTTCTCACTTTAAGATATCCAAGGAATTTCCATGGTCATTTGAATAGTTTAAATGAAGCTTATTTTTTCCCCATTATAAAAATTTGGAAAAATATGTAAAAGCATTATGAAAAATTCATTAAGAGTCTTACTAAAGGGCGCCTGGGTGGCGCAGTCGGTTAAGCGTCCGACTTCAGCCAGGTCACGATCTCGCAGTCCGTGGGTTCGAGCCCCGCGTCGGGCTCTGGGCTGATGGCTCAGAGCCTGGAGCCTGTTTCCGATTCTGTGTCTCCCTCTCTCTCTGCCCCTCCCCCGTTCATGCTCTGTCTCTGTCCCAAAAATAAATAAACGTTGAAAAAAAAAAATTAAAAAAAAAAAACAAGTCTTACTAAAGATGTATATTGCTAAAAAAACTGGTGCATTATGTGACATAATCTTGCTTTCTAGACATTTTTTTTTCTAGACATGATTTTTAATTTTTACAAACTTAGTTATAATAATATTGGATAGAATTTTATAGACTTTTCTCCCTCCCATTTTGAGAAAGCTAATTACTTTTCTCCAGATATCATTTCAAATGTCAATGTTCACAGACAGGGATTAGTATTGTTCAGAATCATTCTACAGGATAAAACATTTTTACAGATGTCGGTTCAAGATTTTTTTTTCAAAGATTTTATTTTCAAGCAATCTCTACACCCAACATGGGACTCAAACCCACAACTCTGAAATCAAGAGTCACATGCTCCATTGACTGTGCCAACCAGGCATCCCAGTTTAAGATTTTTAATGGAAGAAAAAGTTCACATTATGATGTGTGGATGTATTCTAGATCTGAACAATCTGCAACGAAAAAATGATTGTTGCTTTCCTTGCCACAAAAATACTGACAATCTTCCCTTTAAAGCTATAGACTGCTTTTTGCTTATAAGAAAGCATTTTCTTTTACATTGAAAATTCTTTGTAAATATTTTCATAGCTGCATGCTATTAAGCTCAGCAGATGTATCACAAGCCAATTTGTGATACTTCTTTTCTGTGCTGCATGTTTCCTTTGATTCCCATTCACATCTATAAATGAAAGAGCAAGGCTACTTGGTTTCTTCTGCCAATTGTGGCCTCTCTTTCGAATAATAAGCTGGTTCCAAGCACAAGCATGTCAACAAATATGCTTCATTTTAGGGTGAGTAGATAGGAATCAGGCAAACTGACAGGCAAGCTGGGGGTCTACACCATACCCCCACTAAAAAAAGAAAGAAAAAAGCCAAAAATGGAGGACTCTAGAGGACTAACCCTCATGTTGAAGCCCTGGCTTCTTTGAAACGGATAATTTGTTGTTGCTGTTATTGTCTTTTTCATTTCCTTCCTTCCTTCCTTCCTTCCTTCCTTCCTTCCTTCCTTCCTTCCTTCCTTCCTTTTCAGTTTGTCCTTTCTCTTTCTTCCTTCCTCCTTCCCTCCTCTTCCTTCCTCCCTCCATCCCTTTCTTTTCCTTCCTTCATTCCTCCCTTCCCCCCTTTCTTTCTTTCTTCTTTCTTTCTTTCGAGTTCTAAATGTATTACTCATAGCTTAAATGTTCTCTGACTCATTTTCAAGCCAGAGTAATACATGAGTCAGTGTACATGTACATGAGTTGTTGGTACAGTATCTGGCAGAGGAGTAAGTTCTTAATGCATATTAACTAGTGTTGTTACTGTTGATTCACTGTTTGTCTTCCTCTTGCATTTGACTGTGAAGTTACCAACTTTGCTTAATATTGTCATGCTTAATAAGATTTAATATCACCATGTCCCCACCATCTAGCACAGTGACCAGCATACAGAGGTGCTCAGTGTTTGTCAAATGTTTGAAGTAAGTTTTTTGCTGAAGGTAGAATTTAGGCAAAGTCTGAATCAGAACCCATGCTCTAACTCTAAGATCCAGGTTTTCCACACTGTTCCACATTGGCTTCCTTCTCTCTTTGATTTAGGCAACTTGCTGAATTTCTCTGGCCTCAATTTCCTCATTTTGTTTTTTGTTTTGTCTTTTTTTAAATTGGAGTCTAGTTAGCATGCAGTATTACATTAGCTTTTGATGTACAACATAGTGATTTGACATTTATACACATTATGAAATGATCACCATGATAAGTCTAAGCTGATCATTTACTTTTTAAAAGTACTCTTACAGCCTTTCATTTGAAGCAAATGCCACCACTATTCAGGAGTGTTAGAGACCTAACCCCACTGCCCACTTGCAGGTTAATTAGTCAAACAACTTGATTTCTCTTTTCCTTCTCACTCTTGCTCTCCATACCAGCCAATCACAGGAGACTCCATTAAAAATTAAAAAAAAAAAAAAAGAAAAAAGTTACCGCCTGTGCTACAGCCTTCTCTTATTTCAAAATGATTTTAAGATGTGGCTTTTTCTGTTAAAGGTTATTCTTTGGTATGATCCATTCTGCTTTCCAAATCCAATTTCCATTCTCTTTTCAAAACCTTTAGTCCTCTGATGTGTCCCATTTCTGTTTTTGAGCTTTTAGCAATTTATGCTATTTCTTTAAACAAATTTCTTTATTGTTAATGGGATTTTATTTGAGGGAAAGGAGATAAATGCTGAATTCAGACTGCCATTTTGAACCAAAAGTGTTGCATTTCCTTTTTAACACCCAAAAGTTCAGAATTTTAAAACTCAAAATTGTATATGTACTAATTAGTTCATAAAGTTTCCAAAGTGATATCTTAATCACTGAACACATGTAAGAGGTGACTATTTCAGAAAGAACTTCCTCATATTTAAGTAGCATTTTCTTTAAAAAACAAAAGACAAAAAATAAAAACTATACCCTACTTGGTCAGCAAAATTAATCTCATGCCAGATCTTTACTAACAATGTAATTCAAGCAACAATATTGATGTAATTCAAGCAACAATAGTAACTGCCTTATAAACACATATCGACTCAATATTTTTATTGAAAGAATTTTGGGCTTTTTCAGTTTCCTATTTGATTTTGTCAGTCCAGCTCTAGACTTCTCAGAATCATGGAAAATTAAAATGAGAATTTATTGTATATCTACTCATATCTATTCACATCACAGATGAAAAGACTGAGGCACTGAGAATTAAAGTTATTTGCCCATGACCATCTAACTTGTAGAAGGAATGGACTAGAATCAAACCATTATAATTTCTACACCAGTGTTCAACTCACACACATACCTGGCCCCACCCGCCTTATCTATTTTCATAATAGCTTTTATCTTTTCTTCACAGCATTTATCTTCCTTATTTAATGTCTTTCTTTTGTGCAAAAGTGTAAGCTCTGTGGAAGCATTAGCTCTGTCTTGTTCTTTCTTTTTCTTTCATTAGTTCTCCAGATGCCTAACCCATTATTAGGGTACCTAATACTTACATGTTAACTAAATGACTGAATGTACCATGTTACTTCTCTACCCTCAGTGAACTTACGGTTATTTACTTAACACCTTAAAATAGTAACTTATGGGGAGAGAGGTAGTATATCTGTGAATAGATTGAAATGATATGCAAAATTTTCTGGTTATGTCCATCTTATTTACTCTGCAGTTTTCTTAATTCTCAAAGGAGTCTATAAAGATAAAAAAAAGCCTTAGGCAAAGGCCCTAAAGTAATGCTTTACTCTAATATACTTAGGATCTCAACTTTACAACAGTTAATTCCCTTTGACTGAATTTTAATTCCAGTCATTTATCTGTAGCATTCCCTTGACATATTTTAGAAGCTTATCAGCTTCTGCAGTAGCTCAGTGCTAAGGGGAAGAGTGGAATGAGGTAAGGATAGGATAGGATACCAAGGTACTCCTAGAAACAGAGGTAACAGACGTCATTCATCAACAGTCCTTGAGCACAAATACATTCTATTTGTGTGTATGGTACTTACTTTTTCAGCTGGAAGGATGTGTTGTTTCATGAAATGCTTCATCCTAATAAGAACTTCCTGGCCTGTCTTACTCTGTACAAAAAACTGCTGGGAAGTATCAATCTGTGGTGGCGTAGTACCAAAAATCCTTTATTAAAAAAAAGTTATAAAGGTGTCCAAAATCATTATTCTATAGTTCTGAATATAATGTGAAGACTTCCCCACCTCCCCCAAAATATACCTCAGGAGTAGCCATATTTTGTAATTTCTTAAGTTTTTCATATTATGGAATGAATGCAGAATCCCTTTACTTTGAACATTAAACGCTAATGCTGAAAGCACTACTTGGGAAAACATAAGCCTGGCCTGACCTTAATCAGTGGTAGTTTTGAATCTTTATTAAAGCCACTTATCACAATCTCTAAAAAAAGCAAGTGAAGAAATTGAACAAATTTAGTAATTATTCTTAGTATATTCCTCACAAGTACAACTGTTGGCTATCATTATAAACAAGAACTTTAAAGATCTTTATGAAGAGCAACACAGTCAGCTGTTATGTTGAGGAGAACACAAATATCCATCTATAAATGAATTGTAAGACATAACTGTCCTAATGTTATGCCATGGGAACTTACGGCTTGGACAGAATTTCCAGGGACACCATCATCCACACACTCAGTAAGTGCTATAGATCACAGCACTTAGATAGGAGTGTGTGGTTGGCAAGTGAATTAGATGCCTTGAAAAGTGCTCCACTGATGGAGATATGGATTTCACTTATGACGTGATTGAATAAAATTTCATGAAATATGATGGAAAAGAGCAATACTGCTAAAGTTAATAAATCATCTTTTACGTTACTTTATTTTATTTTTCAGAGACAGTGTGTGAGTGGGGGAGAGGGGCTGGGGAGAATCCTAAACAGGCTTCACACAGTGTAGAGCCCCACATGGAGCTCAATCCCATGACCCTGGGATCATGACCTGAACCAAAATCAAGAGTCGGATGCTGAAACAACTGAGCCACCCAGGCGTCCCTGTAATATGTAATTTTAAATAGGTATATGTAAGTAACTTATTATTGAAACGAAACATTTGAGAGTTTTATCTATCTCTTTAAAAGTTTATATACTAGGGGCACCTGGGTGGCGCAGTCGGTTAAGCGTCCGACTTCAGCCAGGTCACGGATCTCGCGGTCCGGGAGTTCGAGCCCCGCGTCAGGCTCTGGGCTGATGGCTCAGAGCCTGGAACCTGTTTCCGATTCTGTGTCTCCCTCTCTCTCTGCCCCTCCCCCGTTTATGCTCTGTCTCTCTTTGTCCCAAAAATAAATAAACGTTGAAAAAAAAAAAAAAGTTTATATACTCAAGTTGGCAAAAAAAAAATTACTTTTAATCATGAATATGGATTATAATTTTTTTTATATTTGAAGTCTTTTTATTTTCAGGCATATAAGAGAGTTACCAAAAAACTACTGTGATTGGCAGCAACAATCCTGGTGTAATCAATAAAAACAGTCCCTATCCCAAAGTTTACACCCTTCCTATATCTAATAAAGGCTCTAATTTGAGGTATCCAAGGAATTCATTTTGCTTACCGTTTTGAGAGTTGTAATCCAGTTTCTGCCAGAGGTTGCACAATCTTGGCAAACAGAAAGCTATTCTCAGATGCATTATTTCCCTGAAGATATCTACGATATACTCCCTATAAATAAATTAACATAGAGCAATTAAGATTCATTAAAAACTGTTCTTCAGCTATCCAGTCTTTCCAGTTTCCCAGCTATGTGAGTCCCTAAACTCACAAGGTATCAAAATGTAAATCAGATCACCAATTCTACTTATTTACACGCAAGGATAATTATACCTTCTTAAATTAAAGAGTTATACATGCATAATTTGGTTGACACACTCTTATCCTAACAGAATTATAACTGGAAATCAAATCAAACTTGAAAATGAGTTCAGAAGCTAACAAAGATACCAAATTGGCAAATTATATCACCTCTAAAGATCACTATTTTCCCTTCATACTGGAGGAAAATCTACAGACACAAAAATAAAGTAAAAAAAAACAAACAATGACATGATCTCTAAGAAAATTTTCCCTCATTTTTTTTTGACTCCTAAATTAGTTAACTGTCTCCTTGACCAGTGTTAGTTGAATTCTAATTAGTTTTTCTTTCTTCTCCATGTTCTTTTTTTTAAAGTTCATTTATTTTTAGAGAGAGAGAGACAGAGCACACATGCAGGGGAGAGGCAGAGAGAGAGAGAGAGAGAGAGAGAGAGAGAGAGAGAGAGAGAGAGAGAATCCCAAGCAGGCTCTGCTGTCAATGCAGAGCTCAACATGGGGTTTGAACTCAGGAACCAGGAGATCATGACCTGAATCGAAACCAAGAGTGGGACACTTAACCAACTGAGCCACCCAGGTGCCTCTCTTCTCCATGTTCTATGCTTTCAACATAGCACACTCTCCTCTCCCTTGCTTCTTCCACCCAAACACAATCAACTGAATCTCCTTAGTTTTATTTCTTCATGTTTCTTTATGTAATAATATACCCTAACAATTTTTCCATCATTTCCAATTTCATATTTATAGTTAGAATAGAATGTTTATGATCATCTCTAAGGTTACCACATATAATGTATGACATACATATTAATTTCAACATAACCCACGTCAAACTTTTGTTTGAAAAGAAAATCCATTTTAAATTCAAAGCCTATTTGTGGAAGCTGACAAATATAAAAAACATACCATAATCCCTATTTTGAGAAACCCATCCAATCAACGTGATTAACATGATTCTAAAACACAGGATGAAATGTAATACAACTATATCCTAGAAGACATTTCAGTTGTTCATGGATAGCATGGACTCTGGAGACAAGGGGAAAAAAAACCTTAATTCTTTTCCCATTCTTTTTTGTTTCTGAAATCTCTTATTTACTTATTCCACCAAGCCCTAGCCCTTTGCCACTGATAAAGCATCTCAGTTTCTTAAATAAACTCCCGAGATTCAAAGCACATGGAAACTAAATCAGTATAAAGACGAATACATTTCAGACGAAGCCATAATATAAAAAACTAAATGTATGCTCAATTTCCTCTCAAAATTAATCACATAAATATGACCTTGTTAGAAAATGGAAAATTTTACTCATCTATTCTCTCAAAAACATATTAAGAGGCAACTATATTCTAGGTACTATGCGAGGCTTTGGGACATGCAAAAATTATTTCTTTCTTTATCATGACCCTTGTTAATAAATGGTTTTATATTTGAAGCAAACATCATTAAAAGATTTTAGCTCTTTCTTAAAATGGATATTCAGGTAATACCGAATCTTCACATGGCTTTCTCTTTTTCTCTTTATGTCTTTCTTCCTTCCCCTCCCCCAAAAGTGATAACACATTTTGCTACTCAGTTTTTTCCCTTGCCAAGTTCCTATTATATAAATTCTGGATTCATATTCAACCATATTTGGTATTTGTCATTATCAAAAGCAAAATGATCTAAGGACAAAGAATATAAAATTCCTGAAGACCAGAAAATATTGTGAACATTACATTAATAAATAAAAGTGAAACACGGTTTAAAAATAGTGAATTACCTGTGCTATGCTAGCCATTTTAAAATATGTCAGGGCAATAAAGAAATTCCAGTTAGGAAGAATAGAATTAATTCCTCTGCAGCGGCAATATATTGAAATCATTTCTTCCATTGATGGTATCCCTATAAAAATAGCACATACTGTAAAATTTAATGAAAGATATCATGGTGAATATTTCAAACTGTAATAAAATTGCATATGCATATAAAACTGAATATAATAACCATTAATCCGAATAAGAAACATGTTCTGAATGTTGACTTCTAAAAAGAATGATGTATATAAAAGGCTATATTTTATCATAAATTGCTAAAAGTGAAATGCTATGTTCAGAAAAATCAAGAACAAAATGATTTAGAAACATTTCAAGAAAGTAATTAAAAGTTCTTAACTAAACTTGCTATATAATCTTACCTTTTAATTATGAAGAATAATAAATATAATTTTATATTAATAGCAATTTAGGCAACATGATGGTTTCATACCTATGTTTTCTTGAAAATAAGAACTTTGATTTATCATTGGAACTGTCCTTGGCCAAAAGTAGAACACGGAGAGATGAGCTAAGTCTGACAAAGGATGACCAATGGTTGAAAGCTCCCAATCCAGTATAGCTATAACTCGAGACTGCAATTAAAAATGAAAAAGTTTTAACATATTTAATACAAAACTAAAACAAGGAAATAAATGAAATCCTGTTTTTCATCAAAAGCAAATCTGAGGCCATAGTTTGCAGTCTTTACCTACAATGGCACATTGCATTTATCAAATAACTCATTAGCCTTGATCATGTAGAGCCAAGTCCTCTGGCTCCATTATTGGCCCTCAGTTCTCCTACATTTTACTCTATATACCCTTACTATCTCTACTAATGAGTGGAGGCAAAAGCAGTTGAAATTGCTCAACTGAGAGTTAACTACATTAAAAAAGAAACTGTAGTAATTACTGGGGTGTCTGAGTGGCTCAGTCAGTTAAGCGTCTGACTTGGGCTCAGGTCATCATCTTGCAGTTTGTGAGTTCGAGCCCCGCGTCGGGCTCTGGACTGACAGCTCAGAGCCTGGAGCCTGATTCAGATTCTGTGTCTCTGCCCCTCCCCCACTCACACTCTCAATAAACAAACATCAAAAGATTTTTTCTTAAAGAAACTGTAATAATTACTTATAATTCAAGCATCTATGCCAAGTCATGTATAGTTAAAGAGTTTGCTCTGGTGAAAAATCTTTCTGCACAACAAACATTACACTCTCAGGGCAACAGTAATTTTTAAAATGAGTTATTTCATGTTGTAGATACAAAAATATAATTGTTTAAAAGATGTTGTTTGGGGCGCCTGGGTGGCGCAGTCGGTTAAGCATCCGACTTCAGCCAGGTCACGATCTCGCGGTCCGGGAGTTCGAGCCCCGCGTCGGGCTCTGGGCTGATGGCTCAGAGCCTGGAGCCTGTTTCTGATTCTGTCTCCCTCTCTCTCTGCCCCTCCCCCGTTCATGCTCTGTCTCTCTCTGTCCCAAAAATAAATAAACGTTGAAAAAAAAAAAATTAAAAAAAAAAAAAAGATGTTGTTTTATGTAGATAAAATTCACAATTATATGGCAGTATCATAAAATAGTCATGTAATTTGGAACCAATAAAACAGAAAACTTTCCTCATTCTGCTTTGTAACACAGGCTGTTTGGGGTGCTTGGGTGGCTCAGTCAGTTAAGTGTCTGACTCTTGGTTTCAGTTCAGATCATGATCTCACGATTTCATGAGTTCAAACTCCATGTCGGGCTCTGTGCTGACAGTGTGGATCCTGCTTGTGATTCTGTCTCCTGCTCTTTGCCCCTACCCCACTTGTGTTGTCTCTGTCTCCCTCAAAATAAACAAACTTAAAAAAAAAACATAGGCTATTCAACTGTAAATATAAGAGAAAAAGCAATTTGCAGAATACATAGAATGTATATAGTTTATCCTATTTTTGTTTAAATAAAAAGGTTATAAACCAATACCCAAAGTTGAAAGGATATACAACAAACTAATGGCAATGGCTGTGGTTATTTCAAGGTATGGAGGCAGGAGGAAAGGAATGCGGGTATAGAGGGGGGAACCTCCACTGGAGGTTTCTGTACAGAGGAGTGACATGATAGGGTTCATATTTTAGGAGGGTCACTCTGGCTGCTATAGACTATAGAGGGGCCAGTGAGGAGGCTACACCAATCATCTAGACAAGATTATCTAAGCCAGATAAAAGAGCAGGCTCAGCTAGGCAATGCAGGTTACTGGGTTCCATGCCTTTATATAACTTTGTATGTGCTTGTACTCCCCCTGCCCCTCTGGCACACTCATACTGTAACTTTGTGGGAAGACACAAATTTTGGAATAAGACACACCTATATTCAAATCATACCTCCACCACTGAATAACTGTGTGACTCTGAACCATCTAGTTAACCTCTCTGAGCCTCAAATTTTCTCAGCCATAATATACCTCTTGCATAGAGTTAGTGGGCAGATTAAATGAGGGCAAGTAGCATGTGGTGTTTGTTTACCAGTTCCTAGCAAAGTAACTGTCACATAATAGGTGGCCAATATTCAATAAGTACAGAGCCTGGCATATAGTGGGCATTCAAAAATTTTCTATTATAACTAAAGGAAAAATTGATTACCCCCTCCTCCATGATTTGACTTAATAAGACCTTTTATTGTTGTGGTTATAGTGTATTGTAAATTACTATATGAGCTAGATTTATTAAGAAAACAATAAAAAGGATTGGGTGCATTTTTCTCTATATTAATTTATTTGTTTCTATGCTCTTACCATCCAGGGAAAGGAGATGAGATACTTGCTTATGCTGTAAATGTTTACCTTTTTTTCAATGAAGCCTGGGAATCTTCTCTGTAGTTAAATTTATCTAAGACATTTTTAGGTAATTACACAAAGCTATAAAACAATGGCTAGTAAGAAACGTTGATGGTTCATCAAACTTTATAAATTAGTGTAAAGCAGCAATAGTTTATGAGAACACCATCTACACCTGTTTATGTACAGAGCTGTAACAAACTCAGTCTAAGTCCTAGTGGTTAAAATGAACATTTACTAGTTCATCTTCCTGCTAACGAACTTATTAATAAAATGACTTCTGACATTTTTTCTGAAACCTCAGCACAACAAATTCCTTTTCATTTTGCTGATTATCCTCTGCACTGAGTTTTATTTTTCCAAGTGTGCTTTCTGTACTACTGGATTTTATTAAAATGTGTGTGTGTGTGTGTGTGTGTGTGTGTATGTGTATTACCTTTTCAAAACAAAAGAAACACATGCGATCCAACATTACACACAGGAGATGAAGAAGGCAGGGAAGAAGATGTTAATAGAATTTTAAATAAAAAGATGAAACTAGAGGTAAGGTTATTTTGTTAGTGTGGACAGTTAAACATCGCTTCAAGTTTTCAATGGGCAAAATAAAGTGTGAAGCATGACCAGTCAAAACGTTTACAGCATATACAGATTAAAAATAAATCAGCTGCTTCAGAGTGACCACTTTTCTTGGCAATGAAGCTTAAGAAAAATCTGGCCCATCAACCTGCATGAAACAGATATTTTTTGGGGCTCCTGGGTGGCTTGGTCTGTTAAGTGACTGATTCTTGATTTTGGCTCAGGTCATGCTCTCATGGTTTTTGAGTTCGAGCCCCGCACTGGACTCTATGCTGGCAGTGCAGAGCCAGCTTGGAATTCTCTCTCTCAATCTCTGCCCCTCCCCAACTCACATGTGCACTGTCTCTCAAAATATATAAATAAACTTAAAAAAAAAGAAAGACTGTATAGAGTGCTAAAATGTCTTCAACAATGTAAAGAGGACTTCAAGGAGCCTGTGATCCCCAGAAAGCAGCTTGTGCCAGAAAGTGACTGGCACTTAGTTCATTTTGTGAAATGAACTAAGCAGAAGGCAAGACAATACACTGAGAATGGGAATCTAAATGAGAAAAGCAACTTCATAGTTTGCAAAAAACGGAAAAGATCTGGGAAAAAAAAGTGTATAAAGTCATAGATTTTATGAAAAGATGAGGTTACAGCCTAGATGAAATTAAGCAACATACATATGTCCCAGATTCTGTTAACGTGATTCATGACTTTATTCTGAAGCAAAAATAAAATGACCCAAGATTAGGGTTAGAGACTATTATAAAGTCAAGAGGTGAGAAGAATCTGGAAGATTAAAAAAATATAAGGTCAGGAAACTTTATAACTCTTATATTACTTGTATATATCCACAGTCAAAGAATTAATTCAATTGATAATAAAGAAAATAGTTTTTGAAATAACTGATCCATGCCCACATGCGCCAGGCAAGATAAGAAGTCAAATAGAGTCATAAGGGGTTCATGGATTCTGAAGAGCGAGCAATCAAATTTGTAGCATCTTGGGGAGGTATAAAGAAATAAGAGGGGTGCCTGGGTGGCTCAGTCAGTTCAGTGTCTGACTCTGGATTTGGGCTCAGCTCACGATCCCAGGGTCATGTCAAGCATGAATCCTGCTTAAGATTCTCTCTCTCCCTCTGTCCCTCTCCCCACTTGTGTGCTTTCTCTCTCTTTTAAAGAGAGAGACAGAGAGACAGAGACAGAGACAGGCAGAGGCACCTGGGTGGCTCAGTCGGTTAAGCATGCGACTTCAGCTCATGATCTCACAGTTTTGAGTTCGAGCCCCACGTTGGGCTCTGTGCTGACAGCTCGGAGCTTGGAGCCTGCAGATTCTGTGTTTACCCCTCTCCTTTGCTTGTGCTCTGTCTCTCAAAAATAAATAAATGTTAAAAAAAATTAAAGATTAAAAAAGAGAGAGAAATAGAGTGTAAAGAGGGTGTGGTCAAAGACAAGGGGTTTCAATTTCTTTTTTACTTTTAATTTTTTTTTAATCTTTACTTTTGAGAGAGAGAGAGAGAGAGAGAGAGAGAGAGTGTGTGTGAGTGGGGGAGGGGCAGAGAGAGAGGGAGACACAGAATCCGAAGCAAGCTCCAGGCTCTGAGCTGTCAGCACAGAGCCCGACGCGGGGCTTGAACTCACGGACCACGAGATCATGACCTGAGCTGAAGTCAGACGCCCAACAGACTGCGCCACCCAGGCAACCCAAGGGGTTTCAATTTCTATACCAATGAAGTTGACCAATTCCAATAGGGGGGAAAAGCAGTATGATGTAGAAAAAATTATACAACATTGCAAGTCTATAGGCCTGAGTTCAAAACCTGGCTTTACTACCACTGAGCACTTACTAAAGAGTATTTTTAAAATATCTGTAATGTAAAGGGGTTGAAAAAAACCCAAATGCCACACCTTTTCTAGCAATAAAATTAAATTTTATAACTATGCCTCTCCTCAACTACACTAACATTTAAGAGATAACGGAGAAAATTAAAAAGAAAAAGCCATTTAAATACAAGTTTTGTTTGCATATCAAATCTTTTTTCTTCATAAATTAATATATAGAAGGCTTTAAGATAGAGGACTTCAGAAGAAGTTATCTGTTAATGTTATCTGAAATATACCTGACTACTAATTAATGAATACAGATGAAAAGGTTTATCTGGTTTTAGTTAAATATACTTGTTTTTCAAGTTGAAATGCACACTAAACTCCTTAAACATTTCTCTGCCAAATAGG